GCCTTCATCTCATCGAGACTTGATTACTGTAATAGCCTATTGTACGGTCTACCGATTTGTGACATCGAAAAATTCCAACGGATCCAAAACACAGCTGCCCGCTTGTTAGTCGGTGCTAAATCAAGAGACAGTATAACACCTATACTTATGAAACTTCATTGGCTCCCGGTCACAAAACGAATTCAATTCAAGATACTGTTGATAACATACAAAGCACTAAATGACATGGCTCCAACCTATCTTGTTGAACTTCTTAGTCGATATATTCCAGCACGAAACCTCCGTTCATCAAACATGAATCTACTTGAGATCCCAACAATTCGAACTAAAACGTATGGGCAAAGAGCATTCTCCTACGCTGCACCGTATTTGTGGAATCAACTACCTGAATGCATAAAAAACGCCGAATCTGTTGACTCCTTTAAACGCTTATTGAAAACTTATCTTTTCAAAAATTAAGCCACCAGATTTTTTTTGATATCGTACGTTGTCAAATATATGTATAACACGTAATAATTCATTAGTTTAGATAGAGTAGCGTAAAATTACATGTATAGGATTTTTATTGAAATTTTGTTAATTGTAATTGTAAAGCGCATAGAGTTCAATTTTAATGCGCTATATAAGAACTTATTATTAAATTACTGGAAAAAAAGGACTTCTCCTGGTATGGGAAGAACAGGTCACATCAGTGTAAAAGAACATAGTTTTCCAACCTGACTTTCACGCGACTCTTCCCCACTATGCTTCTAACAAGGTCCAGCTGGCAGTCTGCTCACGAGATACAATCGTGTTAGGATGCAAATATAAAATAACAGTCACGCGATATGATAAAAATCACGACAGACCCTTGAGTCACTCCACTGTCCAATTTGTTGCAATTCGAACAAAGTTCATTTTTTATCCAAAGCCCTGAGCTCCATATAAGGTGATTCCTCAAAGAAAAAAGCTATCGAACAATTTTTATGATCTTTTCTTCAATTTTGCTTACCTATGTCTGTTCCGAAAAAATACAAAAAAGATAGGTCACCATGCTTGTTTACGTTTAGGAGATATGATGGGTAAATAATTGTGCACAATTTAGGGAGCATTCATAATTTACCTAGAGGGTCGGCTATGATGATTTTGAGGGGGGTCACTCTTTTTCCCCAGTGTGATTTGTTGATTTAGGGGGGGCTGTGGAAAATTTCCAACAAAAATGACATGGAACATGGGGGGGGAACCATTTTTTTCCTGAAAAAGAAAAGGATCTGAAAATATGCTGTTGGACACTCTTATAATTCCTGTCTTTTATTTCATTTCGACAAAATGTTGATACAGAACTAGAGCATGAAACTTGATGCATGACGCCCACTTCTTGTGCTACAAGGTCTCTTTACAAGTGGCTCAAACTTATGGCGCGCCTTTCCTGTCAATATTCAAACAACCTTAATATACAATACATCCACTGCATTTCTTCGCCGTATTTTTTATTTCCTTTCTGTGTATTTTTTATTTTGCTTCTTTATTTATTTTCCTTCTATATATTTTTAAATCTCTTCGTATCAATTTACATGTACGTGTTTAGCTCATCTATTTTTTCTCTTCATTTTATATGCGTTCTATATTTTTTATATTTATTCCATATGCTTTTTATCGTTCCGAGTGGGATTTTTTATTTTCTTTCTAATTAGTATACAAACGTCATCACATGAACATGATGCACTTTTCCGGCAATTTCAAAAGCAAAATGGCGGATGAAACTTTAAGAGATGGCAACGAGAGAGGCCTTTACAACTTCGTAGAGTCTCTTCGTACCCTGTTGATTAGTATTCAGAACTTGAACACATACGATGTCTCCGTTGATTACTTTGAACAAGCTAACGTGCGTCTGGAAGATGCAATTTTAACTTTACAGTTGCTGTTGCATAGTGTATGGCAAAGTGAGGACTCTGTCCTTCAAGATTTCAAGACAATAATAGAAGCTGTTTTGACAAAAGTACGCTTTGTTTTACGTGCAATTACAAAGTACGAGGAAAGAAATTCCGTTGAAGCAAAGATATCAAATTCATTCGCTTGTCCTACCACTAAACTAACAAGTGCAGGAAGACCAGTAGACGACGACGATTACCAGGTCTCAATACCAGTTGTTGATGTTCGGCTGACACCACAACAACTGCATATCTTGGAAGTCTCCTGTCACCCTTTGAATGACGATGGTGAACATGGTAGAACTCAATATTTGAGATGCATGGACATCCTTAGGAATCAGTTCAACGTATAAGAAACTTTGCTGAGATAAGGCCGTTTTGGTGGTAACAATCTTTAAAACAGGTGTTCCCAGCATTCAACTAACCTAAAATCCGTTATTACAGAGTGAAAATAGGGCCTAGAATTAAGATCAATTAACGTCTATCAAACAGGTACCACTATGACAGATTGAAAACGCAAACAGTGTGAAGTTTATTATTTGCCTTTAAATTGTATCGATCAGAATAGTACAACAAAATTAATGCAACTTAACCTTTACAACAGTAAGGAAAAAAAATACATAAGAATCTCAACAAAATAGTTCTAAACAGCTGCGCTCACTTGAAAATGTCAACTTGAACAGATAACAAGCTTGATACTACAATCAGCCATTAGCTAACAATTTCCCAGTATGATTTACCTGAAAATAATTTGTGCACAGTTGTTAAATGTTTTAAAACCGAAAATACCTATCCAAGGCAGAAAACACAATTTCACTACAAAAATGATATTATCAGTCTGTTTTAAATCAGCTTGCATTTGCCATCACAATGGTCTTCTTTAAGTCACAAGGCATATTACACAATATCCATTTCCCAATAATCTGATGCAAGTATTGCACTGAACTCCTCTCTAAGTTCAGGAAATGACTGATAAGTCGAGGATAGCTCCAATACAGTATTACAAGTGTGGGCAATTGGTCGGCGACCCAAACCAGATAAGTTGGTAAAATTTACTTGGATTGTATCAAAAAGCATTAACTCAGACCCACTGATGAACCTTACAAACTTTGATAATTTCTGAGGCGTGTCAAGGCCCTTAATATACCGTTTGAGAAACTTAAGGCTATCCCTTTCCCCATCACTCTCAGGGTTTGCCTCTAGGCAACTAAGGATTTTGCTTGTGGATGGTATTAACAATTCATACCTTTTGGAAATTGCTGCAAAATCAGGAAAACTAGGAAGAAGTGTAGAAACTATATCCTTCCAGCAGTCTGTAATATACTGTGGCTTCTGCAGCAGCTCCTTATGGGCTATTTCTTCAATAACTTGACTAACATTCTCGGAATTTACCATAATTCGACAGTCATAGTTACTAAAAACTTCTAAAAGCTGGGACATTTCATCTTCATCATCCCACTTCATGTCACCAGCGAGGCACTTGTCAATCAAACATTTTTCATCTACTGAAATGTAATTTCTAAAGGATTGAGTCAGCATAGCACTAGTTACTGCAGACTCCCCCCAAAAGAGACAAGCAAGGAACGTTTGAGACAGAAGGACTGGTAGGTATTGACAGGTTAAATGTCCTTTCACCAAAATTCTGCCAACAGCAACCCATTCATCCCTTTGATAGTCATGTCTTACAAATGGTACGCGCTCATTTTCTCCAACAAAAAGGGAATCGTATGTTTCTTTCCAAAAAAGAGAGAAAACATCTCTAAGCAACCCAACACCTCTGCCCACTTCTTCAACTCCCACAGCATCAATAACAATTATCTCTATGTCCTGACTCATAATTAATGGATCTCGGAATAAGTCAATCAAATCCTTCTTAATATTTAGTCTGTGCACTTGGATGATACGTTTTGGTGGCAGTTGAGATACAGGTACTGATACAGACACAGGTACATGCTCAGATACATCAACAATATTAGAGTCGCTGCCTGTCTCTATATCATTTAACTCTGTATTTTGATTTGATGTTTCTGCTCCAGTTGGAAATGGTACACAATAAGGTTGGGCAGGGATGGGGCACCACAGCTGCATCTGGCCTCCCATCACTCTCCCCAAATGAAAGGAACACAGAGCTTCTTTGTGCTCCATTAACACTAAAAGGAAATAATAACTTGTCACAAACCATAAAAAACAAAGTGAACTAAGTGGCAATGATGTAACAGACTATGAAGGGTTCATCTTTGTACAAATATCCAAAATCACAAGGAGTTGCAAAATACCACATCAATTCATGTCCCGTCCTGCTAAACGATTGAATAAAGATCTGAGCCAACAAATAAATAAATAAACAAACATTAAAATAAAAAAAATACACAAATCTATTGGGAGACAAACTGGATAATATTTCCACCAAAAAGCCATTGTCATGCCCACTAGTATGAGCTGGGAAGCCAGTCTATCATATATAAGGTTATCCATCTGCATTGGGAAGCTACCTTTGCAGTAAGGCAAAAAAGCTAGAAGAAATCTATACAGCTTTTATTTTGCTCAATGCAAAAATTCAGAAGAAAAAGTTCACCTTGGACTGTCATCTAATAATGAATTCTCTAGCTCCTCTTCGGTTTCACCCTTGTCTTCTGATTCCAAAGGGACCATTAATCTAACATAAACAGCTCCTTGACCAGCCATCCTGGTCACTCTTTCTGCATCCAGAGTTATGCCTTCGGCCAGCAACTATGGTTAAGAAAAACACGTTACTTGCACGCTTCTTGCAAAAGTCAAGGGTAAATTCAATGAAAGAGTAGTTAAGTTAAGCTTATGTCACAAGTAAGGAGAAAGGGGTGGGAGCGAGGCAGTACCAGAGCAAGTCTAAAATAACCCAACAAATTCTGCGAAAAATTCGAAGTCCATTACTCGCATCACTGCAGGTATCCTCTTATGTGGTTAAATCTTTGGCAAAATAGTATAGATGCGTATTTAAAAATAGTGCAGCCACACCAAATGTATAAACGGAACAGCAATGATATTATCATTAATGCATTAAACGTAGAACAATGCTTTAGGTTACTTATATCACTACACAAAGTTACCCACCTTGACATACTCAAATAGCAAAAGCTTTGGAAATCGATTCAATATAGCAGCTTTGAGGGAATGTGCGTCCCAGCTCTTGTCAAAGGGAAACTCGTGGCAGACAAGTTCTCTCTCTTCTAACTGAAGTCGGGTTGTGTGTGTAGGTACTTTGTTGATCTTGGGACTGGGAATAAGGACTAGATCCTTGTAAACAAGTGTCTTGGATGGGCGGCCTTTGGTCGCCTTAATGGTCTGCTTTGACCTTGCTGGCCTTCTACTAGTGCTTTTCCCACTAGCTCGGTTCGAACCAATTGTCGGAAAGAGAGTGGCAAGCCGAGCTTGGATAGAACTGTTAGAGTCTGGCGACGTCGAGGACTGAATCCG